ACCTTTATTTGAGGCGCGCGTTACGCGGTAATGTGAACATGTCTCGGGTGGCGCCTTCAATTTGCTTGCATGCATTTGAGGAAGGCATACGGGGACAACGGTGGGATCGTTTCAAGGTAGCATTGGAATTATGAGCAAAAAGGAAAGTGTTCTCTGAAGTGGGCCTGTTTTGTATTTTGCTACATTGTTCAAGTGATGGAGTTTCGCCAATCGATGCCAAACAAGTCAAACGTGGGCCTGTTTTGCATAATTTGAAGCCTATTCAACGCCACCCATGATGAATGCAAGTAATATAATTTTAGAACATATAAAAACTGGGCCTGTTTTGCCGGTGAGCCGATACTAGAACTGTCACTCTCTTCCAATATTTCCATCCGATGTAGTAATTTTACCTCGTTCTCGGTAATTATACCGCAGCTCTCAATGTATCATGGCGCACAGTTTTATTCGATGCACAAGAACCACTCGAGTTATCCTATCGATGCAGCTTCAAAACTCGAAAGAGATGAAATCATCGCAGCAGAAAAAGATCCTACAGGCGTACAGGGGCAATTGGGTACACATGAGCGCGAATTCCGGAGGTACAGAAACTTGTTCGACCAGTGGGCTATTGATGCTGTCCATATTGAAGTGCGTTTAAATGTACCAACGTTCTCGCCTACAGCAAACAACACATTGAACAGCACAACCGGGGCTGGTATTGGACGGATCGACATTTTAATCACATCATCAGCCCCTGGAAACTGGGTCAGTTCACCACCGGAGATGGTACTTAAGATTTTCCTGTGTGCCAAACAACCGCACCATCAAACGCTTTCCAATCAAATTACTATTGGGTTAAGTAAAAATGGAAACGTTCACGCTGTAGCGTGTCAGTCCGTGAATGGACTACTGATTATTAGCTATCCCGTACGATCTCCTCGATTCTTGATCCAAGCACTTTTGCACCAACAATTTCAAGCGTTGTGGAAATCTCTCAAATCGGTGATACCTGGACTATCATACGAAATGCGACTTCATGATGTATGTTATCGTGCCTCTAGTAGGAAACAATGGCGGATCCGCGTTTGTACCAAGCTGTACATTTGGTACGAAAATATCAGCCAGAACAGGAACACTATTAGTGGCCACTAACACCAAGATCCGAGTTGTGGTGTGTGGAACTGGCTTACTCCCGAGTAAACTCGAGGAATCCGGAGAGTTGATGGTCCGTCCCCGCAGTCCAACGTTCTAAAACTCCAGCTTCAACGATCACAGAGCTCGTGAACGTGACAATGGTACCCCCTGTATCTACCGCCCGTCAGTCGTTCGGCATTGCCTACTCCATAGGTAAAGACATGCCGACTTGCAGTAGCATGATAATAGATATTTTCTGCCGGTGAGACTGCGTTGGTGGTGAAGGTTTATGATTTCATATAGCCTGCGGCGTGTTGTGTCGGAGTGGGCTGTGGAGATAGCGTAGCTGCGACTTGTTTTTGGAAGTTGAGGTACATTGTTGTCACTTAATACTAATTTACGACATCCTATGACCTTGTCGATGGGTATCTCAAACTACCCATCCTGCATGCCTCTCGACCTGACGGCCAAGAAGCCTCTCCCTGTGTTTCAGCTTGTGCCGTCCTCGAGCACCGAGGTGCTCTCTTGAACATTGTGACCGTGCCAATGTTCAATATCTCTTGGCGCATGCTGAAAAACTGTATCCCAGGCGGGGCCAGGGATGGTGGCCTGCGTCTTGTGCTGTTGGAAGCTCCATTTGGAATCCATCGCCATGATAACGAGTGCATTTACCGTTCGATTGAAAGTTCGTATATGGTGGGTCCAGGTAGTGACCATGACTTGTTCTGCGAGCCGCCGAATTTTCCAGTAGCTCGCTCGCAGATACTTTGCACGCGGGGTTGTTCGAGAGATGTGTTGCCTGATAATCTGTTTACTGTCCCCTATGACATATATCGGGGTCCATCGGCGCTGCGCGCATTCCTTGAGCCCCAGGTAGAGCCCATGTTCGCAGCTAAATTGGTTGTCATCGTCTTGGCTGCCAAAGAAATACTGCTAATCCAAAGTACGGCATGGCCTATTACATCATCGCCCACTTGCACCACCATCGACCCACATCCACCGGGGCCTGGGTTGCCACGGGAGCTTCCACCCAAGAACAGCAGGAATTGTGACGTTCCGTGTGGTCGGAAGTTCCTATATTGTTGAGGATGTGCCGAGGACAGATACTTGTAGAAGACCGAAGCCAGCGCGCTGGTTAAGACTGAACCTAGACCAACTCCTGTCCGGAAAACCACTGTATTGTAACCATGTCTCAGACGGGTCCTGAGCCCTGCACTCCGGTCGGGTGCAGTGATGTCATTGTGTGCGTCAAAGTGACTGGCCCTCCAGCGCCAGACGGCATGAAAGTACAGCGCAACTCCAAGTCTCCAACAATTCTCTGCTGCAGTGGTGATAGCAGCAGTGGGCCGCTCTCGGAGTCCTGTGCTGAGGAATGGGTAGAGGGTGTCCGCCAATTTTCCCATTCCCGGGGGGACCATGGGTAGTACTAAACTGAAAAAAGCTTGTTCAAGCTTAGTGTCCTCTCTAGCGTGAAGATGCCAATCGTCCATAAATTGTTTCCGTAGTATACTGGCCGCTGGACATGTCCAGAATACATGATACACCGTGATGTCCTTTACTCTAAGGCAACTAAGGTGAGGGCACCGCATCGTTGCCGATGTAGGATCATACATCGAGAAGGCATGTAGTTTCAGTCGTAATAGAAGTTGTTCTCCGCAGGGATTCAGCGCTACGATTCTACAGATTTGCGAGAAGTCCAGCTCTTCCAGGCCAGCAGCAGGTGCGCTGTGGATTTTCCACTTCTGGTGGTGCCGTACAATGCTGGAGGTCCCCTTGGCTTCTGTGGATTTCAGTAGTGCAGACTTGTAAAAGGTTCTGGACAGTTTGACTCGTCCATCGTTCTTTCGGAGGCATACCGGTCGAGTTACCCTGGGGTGGGGATGTATTCCTAGGAGCTGAGCATCCGGCCTGATGATCTGTGTGACCGCAGCGACTAATTCTCGCTATGAGTTGACCGGAAGGTGTATCGGCGAGGAGACAGTGTCCGCCGTGAGGCGAGCCACCGGTTGGCCTATCTTGTTCATTCGGGCTTGGAAAGGGTGATCTAGTGGGAGAGCATCAAGCCGAAGGGCGTCGTTGGCGAGGCCTGTATAGAGCAGGATGTGAAAGTTGGTGACCAATACGACGACCAGCTGACGGAGTTGGGCTACTACTCTTGGGTTACAGTCCGCCTGCGTCCGTAGCGGCGTGAATATGATGCGCCCTGCTCCAAGACGTCTCCGGTGGATGCTGTCCCGGAGTCTATATCCATTCCCAAGGATACGAGAGAAGTCCCGAGTTGTGGTGATTCTCCCCTTTACGCCATCGTATAGCCGTAGTTCGGAGGAGACAAGATATGGCAACCATTCTGTGCATACCGTTCCACACCCTTCCTTTTCGTTGGTTAAGTAACTGCGATGTACCGAACCTAGTAGAGCTGCGACGTCCACCAATAGGTGCCTCTCATACCAGGAGAAGGAAAGTCCCTCAAATGCAACCGCGAGGAGTGTCAATGCAGTCACCATTTCTTCGCTGTCCTTGGACCGCTCATGGAGCCCTACCTTGGTTATCACCTCCCGCCCAGTGTCCCACAGATTAGCCTTCCAAGCTAACTTGAGTTGAGGGGGAGCAAATTCCATCGGAGCCACATACACCTTCGGAGCCCTATTTGAGTCGCCGGAGTACTGGAGAACATCGCCGACGACGTGGCCTGCAGTTGTACCATCCCGAGCCCATGACGCCACAACTGTGGCCGCTAGCGCCATGAGCTCTTTGCGGAGGAGTGGAGCGCCTAGTCCACCTTTGGACCGTGGCATCGCAGCTAAATCCGCATCTATCCACGCCTTGTTACCGAGAACCTCACACGTAAATGCGCCAGACCAGATGATATTTTTAATCATTCGTTCCAGCCGGTGAACTGTGCCAGTGGACGGCCACGTGTGCTGGGCGATATATAGGAGCTTGGGTATGATGATGGCAACAGCAATTAGACTGCGCTGATCCACTGTCAGTAGCTTTCGAGAGGCCAGTGTTAGCCTTACTTGTAGCTGCTGTTCCGCCTTCACCCACGAGATATCGGGATCTGTCTGGCTAGCTACATAGATCCCGAGATAGCGCCCGTGTTCACCTCTCTCCTTGCAGTGTAATGGAGCTGGTAGAGATGAGCAGTTAACGTGCCCCCCTGGGTTCAGTGCTATCACCATGGTCTTGTCCTGATTGAGTTGAAGCCCAGAGGCGGTCGCAAAGGCTGCAAGAACTGTGAGCAAATTGGGCATTGGAGTAGCGGTCTGTAAAAAGATGGCCGTGTCATCGGCGTACCCGGAAGCTCGGAGATCAACTATCCCCCCCATCATATTCGAGAATAACCCCTTGTAACTCAGAATGGTTGTCAAAATCTCTGTACAGAGCATCAATTGACAAGACAAAAAGCATCGGCGCCATCGGACACCCTTGCCTGATTCCGCTGGTGATGGGCACGTCATTCGACTGGTGACCGTTGACCAGGAATTAGGCACCTGTTCCCTGGTGAAGTGCTGTGGTCGCCGATACAAAACGTGACGGATACCCGTGCGCCCTGATAAGGAATTCCCTAGAGAGCGAGTCGTAAGCCTTTTGGAAGTCCAGCATCACCGCTGTGGACCCACTGTTGCGTTCACCTGATGTAGCCATGCGTTGAACGGCAACAAACCTAGGTAGTGCCTCATGATGGTCCGACCTGGTACGAACCCTGCTTGATGCTCGTGGATGCGCCTTGGGAGTGTTGTTCTCAGCCGGTTGGCAAGCACTCTGGTGAATATTTTGTAGTCGGTGTTCAGCAGTGCAATAGGCCTGTAATTTAGCGGATTTCTTAGATCCCCTCATTTTTTAGGCAAAAGATTTCTTCCTCCAGAAAGGAGGAGGGATAGCTGACATTCCGATACCATCAATTGAACAGGAGAGTCAGAAGCGGAACGAGCGACTTCGCATAAGCCCGATACCAGTCCTTGCTGAGGCGATCCAGACCTGCTGCTTTTCCCAGTTTACAGGCTTCGAGGGCAGCTTCAACTTCTCTCGGAGTAATCTCCTCATTCATCATTAGTTGTCCTGCCTCCTAGACGTCCGGCTTCGAAATCCAGCTCACAACAGCATCCAAGGAAGCATCTGCTTGACGGTGTTGCTGAAGTATCGATCTCCATGCATGTGCAAAGGCCTCAGCTTTCTCCTGTTCTTCAGTGACAGTGATGCCTCCACCTGTATCCAGTGCACCTATTGAATTGTCAGCGTATTTGCAGGAGATCCGTTTAAAGAAATCTTTGGTGGTCTTCCCGTCCCGGTGAGCCGCTGCAGTGAAGAGCCGTTTTTGGGAGTATAGAGATTTTTCACGTTTGCAATCAGTTATCGCCCTCCGAACGCGGGCAAGTGCCGAAGTCCCTGTGAAATTCTGTAGGGACAATGCAGCCATCCCGTTGGTAATGGAACTCACAGTCGGTATAGCCCCATCTGCTTCTGCCTCTAATCGCATCCGTTGTCAAAATAGTCTACGTAGTTTTTGTTTCCAAGTGTTGCATAGAGTCTTACGCGTACGCCGTACAATGTTCCGTGTAGCTTTCGTAATAGTAGTTTTGAAATCATCCCATGTGGGACAGCTCGCCTCTCTGGAGCTGTCGACTTGTGTGAGATAATCCTCTAACAGCGCCTCTGTTTCCTCCTTCACAGCCACCGACGCATGCGCTGGTACCGGGTAGAGCCGCATCGATTTCTTAACCCTCACAGGGTTACCCGGTGGGTACAGGCGTAATTGTACCGCTCTGTGATCTGCGTGGACTACTGGATCTACCACCTCGGTCCTGTCGATCCATCTTGTGAGTATTGGACCCACATACCACCTATCCAGCCTCAATGAGGCTTCCCTTCCGTCCGCCAATCGGTAATGATAAGTGTGTGTGGAGTGGTGATGCCTGCGCAGTTCCCCTGACGTCCAGTCCTGCGGGCGCTCCATCGCAACCGAGTCTACGAGCTTCCATGTTGCTAGGAATGCTTTTAACGCGGGGGAGTCATGTGATGAACTAGTAGAGCTGTAACTGCGATCTGCCACTGCGTCCAGAGTACGATTGAAGTCCCCGCCAACGACGAACAAAGCTCCACATGGTATCTCCAAATATCCCAGGGAGCGGTAAAATGGCTCTCGATCTCGGGGGCGATGCGGTGCATATATATTGAACACCACGATGCACTTTCTTTGGTAGAGTCCTTGTACTGCTATGAAATGCGGAGACCACCTGGTAGGATATAAAGGTGTCACGTCCCGCAGCTGGCCATATGGGTTTATCAATACTGCCACCCCTGCTTTTTGTCTCTGGCTGGTGCCCAATGCGAGTACAACGAGGCACCGTGTCCAGTCCGGAATCCCCAGTCTACCGCGTGTAGATTGGAGAAATAGTCTACGTCTTTGGGATCCACGTGTGTCTCCTGAAGTAAGTAGAAGTCAGCCACCTGCTCGTATATTGCGGTCCGAAAAGAGCGCATTCAAGCATCTCTGCCCTTCCCTGAAGTCCCAAAACCATTGACGTTCTGGGTGACTCCACCGAGCGTAGTGAGCGCTCCTTTGGCTGCATCTGCTGCCCGTCGCCTTAGCCTCTTGTTGTCAGCTTCTCGTTCCTTTGTTTCCCGGTCCTGCCTCCGACGTGTGTTGAAGGTTCTGAAACGAGCCCTTGTTTGTTGAAAATGATGACGACCCGACACCAGTGGGAAAAAGTCCCCTAGAGTGGGCTGACAGCGTCGTCCCCGTTTCGTTGTGTAGTTGCACACCTTGCTGCCATCCAGCGGCTCTGTGCTGTCTCCAAGTGGAGACTCACCCTCCAAGTTCCCTACGGGTAGGTTCTCCGGGATAAAAAGGCGCTGGGTGCCTTTATTTTTGCAATGGGAGGGCAGGCAGGGATATGTCGGTCCCTGACCATTCCTCCCAGGTGTGCCCAGTTTGCAGCCCAACAACACTACGTCAATCTTTGTCTGCAACCGCTTGACACATGCCTCGTACGGTTGGGTATAAGTCGTACCAAATGCTTAATGCACCGAGTGGGGCCCGCCCCATGGTGGAGAATCTCCATTGCCGTACAACATGTGGAAGCAGATGCAATATTGCCCGCTCCGTGTCCGAGATATGGCACGGTTGTCCCCGCAGATAAGGTGCGGTTACCCACTGACTGAGTTCCTCCCATGTTCGTCTCGCGTTGGGACCCGTGAAATACTTCTCGTCCTGCTTTAAGACCTCTAGAAGACTCTGACAGTATGTCTGCGCCTCATCGGGTCGTTCGCTATCATGGCCACTGTTGGAGGGACGTTGCAGAGGACGGCGACGACCGTGAGGGAGGGGTAGGAGAAGGAGGAGGAGAAGGCGCTTGTGCCCGAGAAGGTAAGTTGGAAGGTGATTGACGTGGGGACTTAAAAAACCTGACTGACTGTCCTACACATGCAAACCCCAGCTTGTTCCTGGCGTCCCTGTGTGCCCCACTTGATTGCTTCCTGGCCGAATCTTCAAGGTGACACTCGAATCACCTGCGCTACTCCCCGTTGATGTCTCGAGGCTATTCCAGCGCTAGCACTGCTCGCTTCACCGGTCGCCCAAGCTAGCATCATCTTTGGCCATTCGAGTAGCACTGTACCCACTTGGACCTTGGCTCGTGCGTTCGTCGTCACCATGTTGAACTTCTGACACTCCCACTCGACGAACACCAAGAGAGCCATGAAAGCGCTCGAACTTGACAGCCCCGAGCGGCTTCGTGAAATGATCGGCAATCATCTACAATGTTGGACAGTATTTAACGTGTAGCTCGTTTTGCTGCACTTGCTCACGAAGCCAATGATACTTGGTGTCAATGTGTCTTGAGCGCTGTGTCACGGCTTTGCTTTCGGCGAGATGCTGGGCACCCTGATTGTCCTCAAAGACAGTCACGACTTCGACGTCCATCCCCAAGTCTTTCAGAACCATCTTGATCCCAATACACTCCTGTACTGCAGTCGCCATGGCAATGTACTCGGACTCTGTCGATGATAGAGTAACCGTACTCTGCTTCTTCGATCCCCACTCAACGAGATTGCCATCGTAAAAGATGGCAAATCCCGTCGACGACTTGCGCTCTCTCTCAACAGCAAACGCGGCATCACAATAGACGACAAGGCCATCGCGTTGAGTGTCACCATTGCCGTGAAGCACCAGGCCGTGATTTTGGTTCCCATTTAGGTAGCGGAACACACGCTCAATGCCGACTTTGACTGCCGCGGTTGGGTGCTCCGTTTCTTGTGCTAGAAGTCGGACAGCAGTGGAAATGTCTGGCCGAGTAAGTACTGACAAGTACAGTAGGGCTCCTAGGGCTGGTCGAGGCTTGAAATCGATCAGCTCTTGAGTCTCGAACAGCTGGTCTCGGAATCGCTCCTCCATTGGAGTTGTTGCCGGACGCGAGTTCGTCATCCCGAAACGATCCAAGATCGTCTCGCAATACTTCTTCTGGCAGATACGTACTTCATCACCTCCGGCGGACCAGTGAAGCTCCAACCCTAAAA